CCTGCAATAAATAGCCTGTCCCTGAGATAGTCTCCTAGTTGGACCCAGATGTCAGCCAAGATGCTTGCCATTCAGGACTGAGGCTACAAGAACTGCCTTCTGTTTCCATTAGGAAGAAACAGTAATGAGAGAAGCCAGAGAGAGTCTTCCAGGCACGAGCTTCCAACTGGTGTGCACTTGTGCTGAACACTTTACCCAGGCACACCGTACAGTGATCTCTTGTTATTATCAGCATCTGACTGAGGACACCAGGCTCAGGGAATCTGGTGTAAGACACCAGGGATGCTCACACAAGACAGACCAGCAAGGGTGCAAGCAGACAGTGGTCTGTGAGCCAGGGAGAAAGGCCCGAGAAGATACCAATCCAGACACCTTGCCTGCACCTCCAGAACTGTGAGAAATAAATGCCTGCTCTTCAGGCCACCCAGTCTGTGGTATTTTGTTATGGATATCCATGCAAATGAATCCAAGGGGAATGGGTATGGACATGGCATTAGGGTGTAGTGCTTTAAGCTTAATGCCATGTGTGGTGATATATTGTGTACCCTAATAAATTTGCCTAAAGATCAGAGAACAGAACAAGCCACTAGATTAAACATAGAGGCCAGGCAGTGGTGACACACACCTTTAATCCTAGCACTCAGAAGGCACAGATCCACCTGGATCTCTGTGAGTTCAAAGCCACCCTGGACTACATGAGATTGACTCAGTCTAGGAGAGAAAACAGAGCCAGGCAGTGGTGACACACACCTTTAATACCAGTACTGGGAAGCACACAGGCCTTTAATCCCAGGAAGTGGTGGCTGGGTGGAGAAAGGTATATAAGGCTTGAGGAGACAGGAACTAAAGGCTTTTCGGCAAAAGCATCCCTTTCAGCTAGAGGCTTTTTTGGTTGAAGCCTTTTGGGCTGAGGAAGCTCATGTGGCTAGAGGCCTGTTGGCCAAGGCCTTTTCAGACTGAGGAGTTGGCGAGGTGAGATGTGGCAGTGGCTTGTTCCTTTGTCTCTCTGATCTCTCAGCATTTACCAATATCTGGCTCCGAGTTTTTTATTATGAGACCTTTAGAAATTCGAACAACAGCCTTGTGGCAGAAGTCAGGTCCAAGTTGGAATTCCAGCTCAGCCGCTCACAAGGTGAATGACCCTGAGCAAATGATTTTGCCTCCGAATCTCCCATTCCTCCTTAGTTAGGCACAGTGCAGGAGGCTGGTGAGCTAGAGAGGGCAGCTGTCAAGCGCTTGTCACAGTGCCTGGCTCGGTGAACAGTAGTAGCTACCATCATCAATCATTTCAGCCATTGACTCTCAAAAGGTGGATTTTATCCATGTTTTCAAGTGAGGAAAGTGACTTGCTCAAGGACACACAACTGACAGCCATGGTCTCCTGAGGAAGTCTAGAATCACAGAAGAACAGAGCAGGGCCATTGCTCCACCTTTGTGGAAATCTAGCCCCGACCCCCTTTTCCACAGACTCCTAGCAAGCTCATAGGATCAGAAGCCACGGCCACTCAAGGCCTCATCCTGTGCTCCTCCTATCAAAGGTTCTCAAACAGCAGCTTCCTTTCTGAGTGCTCTCACTCTGGTGCCCTGGTGTCTGATCCCATCAATCACAGGGCGTTCAGTGTGCCCACTTGACGGAGGACCATGAGCAGGGGACCTGCACTCACCTTGGAAATCTTCTTGTGGACTCTTGTGATACTTTGGAGGGCGTCCAATCCTGGAGAGAGAGGGACCAGGGCCGCAGCAGAGGATCAGTGGCTGGCCCAAGAAGACACGAGGCCCCACACCCGTGAAGCCCAGGACCTGACTCCCTGGCCTCCGCACCGGCCATGATGGCGGGGCTTCTTCCTTGGGGACAAATTAGGCAGGTTCTTCTTCCTGGCTGCGGTCTCCGAGTCGGACAGATCTGCTTTCAGCCGGCTTTGGTTCCTCTCGGCCAGCGGGCAGCCAGAGAGGCAATGGTGAGCTGTGAACTTGCCTGTGACATGGCCGGAGCCATCACAGCCAGGAGTGGGGCACTTCCTGGGGAGATGAAGGCTTTGGTTGGGTGGACCTGCTTATCTCTACAGAGCCCTCCCTAACCTAGGCCCTGATTAGGTCCTGGGGGATGCTGATGGGTCTGACTGGACAGCTGTAAAAGACTCTCCCTGAACCATACCTGCTTAACTCTGGGCTGTTACTTTACTTACCGCTGGTGAAAGCTGTATTTGGAGGGCCTTGTGTGGGGCGGACTCCTGTGGCTGAGAGGCGGGCAGCCCCCAGGTGAGACAGAGCTGGATTCTCTGGGTCCTACAGGGGCGAAAGAGAAGTCAGCATGGAGTCTTGGAGATAGGGGAATGGGACAGAGAAGGGACAGTTTCCATGGAGGGGGCGGCAGTCAGCACTTGGGACTAGTTCCTTGGAGACCAGGCCCTAAGCTAAGCTGTGCCCAGTCCTGCCATTGGGTATCAGCTATCACGGGGGAAAGAAGGTTTGGCTTTTGTATACTTTGCTGGGACCTGTGGGCATGCCTGGGTTTAGGGTAGCAGGAAGTCCTGGGGGATAAAGGGAGAGGCATCCCAGGCTCACTGTGGGCACTGGAGCCCTGGGAGGGTTGTCAGAGACTGGCGGAAAGAGAAAGAGCAGTGTCCTGAGAGTACACACGGAGAGGAGGCTCCAGGGGATGTCCTGTCTTGGAGCACCAGCCTGCGGGGTGGATGTCCGGGTGGTCGGCATCAATCCAGAAGTCATAGCTGTGACTCCAGCCATCAAAGTGGAGCTGGGAAAGAAAGGCCCTCGGGGGGTCAAGTGTTGCTCTTGGAGCCCAGCTCAGTCAGGAGGTCCTCTGGGCTCCGAGGTGCCCTCTATGCCTAGGCCAAGGTCTTGGAGAAGACTAATACAGAGGCCATCTACACAGTAACTGCTCTTAGCCACATGTTATCATCTCCATTAAGTCCTTGTGTAGGACAAGGATAATTAGACCCATTTTACAGATGCTAAAATTAAGGCTTGTAGAGGAAAAGGGACCCTTCTAAGCCCACAACAGTGAATCACAGATAAGGAAAAAAATGAGATCTGGGGTCTTCAGCTTCCTATTTCATGCCATGCCTTTGACCTCTAAGCATTCTACTGAATTCCTATCCCACTGACCTGTCCACTCCCCCAGGCCTAGAGTCCCAGAGCCACCTTTATCCGATGGTCCTCCACATCTTCCACGCTGGCTACCCGAATCAGTGCTGGGTTCCTGCGGTCTACAGCCTCCAGCTTCATGTTGACCAAGAAGCTGTGAGGGGGTCTCTGTGGGGAGATAGGTGCTTTCAGATAAGGCCCAGTTCTGAAGAGCTGAGGCTCCAAGAAGAGAGCTGCAAGGGAGACTATGTCTTGGTCAAGGCTCTCCTCTGGCTTATTGACAGGATCACATCTTCCTAAGCTCAGCTTTGGAGAAGGTAAGAGTCAACTTACCACTTTGAAGGCCCAAGTAGGCACAGCTGAGGTCCCAGTTTCTTTTAGATATTTTTCCCAGCAGAAGCTATCAGGGTCTGGATAGTCTGGAAAAGAGAGTGAGAGCAATATCTGAGCCAGCCAGGTAGCTGAGGGAACTCTCTGTCTCCAGTTGGGATCAAGAATATGGTGTGGTGGTGCCCACCTTTAATTCTAGCACTTGGGAGGCAGAGGCAGGAGGATCTCTGTGAGTTTGAGGCCAGCCTGGTCTACAAAGCCAGTTTCAAGACAGCCAGAGCTACACAGAGAGACCCTGTCTCGGAAAACAACAGCAACAAAACAAACAAAAGAACACAGAAGGGCAGAGACTCTTGGAGAAGAAACTTCCCCCATGCGACCACAATTAGATGCTTGCATTAGATCCTGGGGCAGAGAGGTCCGTCCTGGTGAGAACCAAGCACATAGGACCTCAAGAGCTCAGGATTGTTGGAATCCTAGCTCCCATCACATATGACCCGATTGCTCTTACTTAGTCTTATCCAAACCTCTGCTACCCATATGTCCTTTGCTTGAGACCCCTGCATGCTTGAGGTTGCTATCTAACTTTCTTATCCTAAACCTCAAAGTGTCAAGGTTCCTAACTGTTCCCTGCTCTGATCCCAGAGGGCCTGCTAATGAGGTACAGGGAACATGTCTAACATGCTAAGAGACAAGGAGGGTGTGAGAGACTGGCCTGGGAAAGATGCATGCTCAGGCAGCAGCCTCACCTTGTGGAGGGGTCAGGGGCTTTCCTTGCTTCTGGCACCAGCCTACCGGGTGGATGTAGGGGCTGCTGGGATCACACCTGAAACCCAAGAGTATGTCATTGTCCCAGGAGAACTGGGGAGGGCTGAGCCTGCTGTCCCCACAGCATGGCACCAGGGACTTCCTCAGTCTTCTTGGTGAGGGAGATGAGTGACTAACACTGGGTCAGAAAACTGCCACATTAACTGCAAACTCTATCACATCATAATAGCTAATGAAGATCTATGGGGCGTGTGGATGCCTATCTTAACCGGGTATTTCCTGATGAAATAGGAAAAACTGAGTTATGTAACCTGGGACTCAGCTCAGATCCACAGGGCAGCTCACTACCCGCCCACCCCAAATCTGGACTAATAGCTGAAGAACTGGGTGGGGCCACATGGTGTCTGAGGTCCTAGAGGGGATGCCTCCTGCTCCTGGTGCCTCTTCCCCACAGGTCCCGATACCAGTAGTCATAAGTGTCATCCCAGTTGTCAAAGTGCACCAGGAAGCGGCCGTCCACCACATCTGTCACACTGGCCACACAGACAAGGGACGGGTTCATGCGGTCCACGGCCTCCAGCTTCATGCCCACCTGGAAGCCCACGGGTGGAGAGCTCTAGGAGTAAGAAGAGGGCTGTCACAGGCAAGGCCAGGGTGGCTGGAGCTAGCCCAGAGCTGGCCGCTGGCAAATGCAGGAGCAGGTGGGGGTATGGGCATACATGGATGGCCTGGGGGTGAGAAATGGGCATAAGGGAGAAACAGGCTGGGGATGAGGGCTGACTGGGCCCCTCAGGGATTTCTGTCCTCCAAGGGCTATGTATTTACTGAGGCCAAGTCTTCCCTACCGGACAAGCCTTGCCAGGCTTGCCTGAGGCAGCTGGGGCAGTCGTGGGGTGGTGGGGAACGAAGTGGTGCTCCACCCCGCTGAAGGGAGCACGGAGTGAGGAGGGACTAGTACTGGGTAGTTACCACAAGCAGGCAGATGCTTCAAAAGACAGCACCTCCTCATCTCTACGTGCCTGTCTAAGATAGTTATTCTCCTCTCAGAAGTGACATCCGTGACCCAGAACACAATGTCAGTTAATGGCAGGGCCAGAAGTCAAATAGTTGACTTAAAAAAATCTGCATTTCCTGTCACTAGGAGGTGGGCCCCTATTAATCACCTGTTAACCCCAAATATAGTCTCTGGGGCCAGACAGGAATGGGAGGGTAACTGTCCTTGTGAACAGCATTAATACAGAGTCCCTGGTCCTTCAATATGGTCATGGGGGTGGGGGACACTCTACTACTAAGCTGCACATCCAGCCCCCCCCCAGCCCCCCCCCATGTGGAAGTATTTTCAATGGGAGCTCTGTATCTCTCAGACCCTTTGCTTGGGATTATGGGATACTTAACTCTTCAAGCTGCCACCTGCCTCTGAACAGATTGAAAACGGGAGGTGAGCTGGGGGGAATGTTAGCAGACAAAAAGGAAAGGCTGCCAGAATAGGCGTTGACCTTAGACCAATAAGCCGCAGAGTAAACCAAAAGAAGAACATGTGAGACGTAACAGGTTAGTATCCAGGCTGCCCCAGTCAGCTAGGCCCTCTGGGGCACGGATGGTGGAGAATTCTGCAGCAGCAGAGAAGGCTACGGTTTGTGTGTTGCCCGAAGGGTCCTGTGCAGGAATAAGAGACTGAATCCTTATTTAAAGAATAGGAAGCAGGCTAGAGAGGGCTCAGTGATTAAGAGTGCTCGCTGCTCGACTGTAAGGACTGGAGTTCAGATCCCAGCACCTATGACCTGCAAATGTTCGTAACTTCGGCTCCAGGTTCTGATGCCCTCTTCTGGGCTCTGCAGCACATAGGCACTGGCATGTGCACGAACAACACACACACACACACACACACACAGACACACACACATAAAATAAATCGTAAAAAGAAATAAAGCTTGAGCCAGGCAGAAGTGGTGCACAGGCAGAAGTGGTGCACACCTTTAATCCCACCACTTGCAAGGCAGAGAGGCAGGAGGATCTCTGAGTGAGTTCAAGGCCAGCCTGGTCTACAGAGTGAGTTCCAGGACAGCCTAGGGGCTATGCAGAGAAACCCTGTCTCCAAAAAAGCAAAGAGGAGAAAGAAGAAAGCAAGCAAGCTTGTGCTTAAATCCCTCTGACTTCCTGTGATCTCTTCCATACGGGCCTTCCCCAGTGTGTGGTCATCTGCCATGAAGCCTCCTCAGAGGTTCAACAGAAAGGGTTGCCTAATCATGGACTTCCTGCTTCTAAAGCTGCAGGGTAAAATAAGCTCTTTTCTTTCTGTATTAGTCAGGTTTAGATACTTTGTTATAGCAACAAAATGAATGAGGGCTGGTGAGATGGTTCAGGGGGTAGAGGCAACTGCCATCAGGCCACACTATGTGAGTTTGAATCCCTGGGTCCACAGGGTAGCCCACTCCAAGCTGTTCTCTGACCTCCTCCAGGAGTGCTATGTGGCATGTGCATCACACACACACAATAAATTTTTTTAAAAAAAAGTAATTTAAAAGAAAATGGATGGAGGCAAGATGGAAGGAGGAAACAGGAATGTGTAACCAGCATCCCCCATCTGGGCTTTGACCTTTCCCCAGACATGCCTCTGGAGCCAGAAGAGACCAGATAGAGCTGACAGCGATCGGATTGCTCCCTTGTGCCGAGTCAGATCCCCTGGGCGGGCTGCGGTGACTTTGGCCGGAGGGTGATGTTCACTTGGATACTCACGTGGCCTTGGCTTGCAAACAGATGCTTGGGGGCTGCCTGAGCTCTGGTGCTGCGCAGGTACTGGCTCCAGCTGAACTCTTCTGCCTTGCAACCTGGGCCCCTCGGGGGAATGAACAGAGCGCTGTGCAGAGGCTGGGCCAAGGTGAGGGCCCCAGGAATGAAGCAGAAACAGGCAGGTCCCTAAACCCTCAGGGCCCTTCTGCTGAAGGAAGACAGGACCTGGTGAACACTCAAAGAGTTTAGAAGCCTCAGAGTGGAGCTGTATCAGAATGGGACAGAGAACTGACCAAAGTTTAGCTTTTGTTTTGTTTTTTTAAAAAAACATGTGGGATGCAGGGTACCCTGAAGGGAGTAAGGAACGGGTCTGGGGACTCACTGCCTTCCATGGACCAACCCAGGGCGGTCTTACCTTTGGGAGGCTGCAGCTTGTGTCCAGTCTTCTCAAACCAGCCAGCAGGATGAATGTCAGGGGAGTTGGCATTGACCCAGAAGTCATGGCACTCAGAATACCCATCAAAGTGCAGGCGCAGCCGGTAGCCACACACCTGGCCATGAAGACAACCAGAGGCACGTCAATGCCATCAGATGCCACCTTCTTCCCACTCCTTCCCTTCTCCTGGTCCAGCCTGCAATCTCAGGGATCCAGTGCTAGCAGGTGCCCTGACTGCTGAGTGTAAGGTGGATAGACTATGGCAGCCTAGCTGCCCTCCTGAGCCCTGGACATGATGTGGAAAGTACTATAGATTGTCCTGTGCCCCTGGGGTCTTTCTCCCAGCCACCTGCTCGCACTGTACATCCTCAGTATACCCTGCTATGGTCACACTCTATCTCATGCCCCAGGACCCATTTTGCTGCATCTGCTTGGACTTTCCTGCTCAAACACAGGACATGGCAGGTAGACCTGCCTATACTTTTCCTACCCCCTCAGGCCAAATGGGGGTATTCCTTGATCTGCAAGCCCATGGCCCATCACTGCTGCGCTCACCTCACAGAGATTGCCTTCCCGGAGGACAAGGGCCCTGTTTGATTGGGGACAGCATCACCACCTTTTGAACCGTTCATATCTACCCCCAGCCCCAGCATAGACAACTTATACTATTCAGTAATACCAGGGTCCCACTGCTCCTCATCTGCTTTCCAGTTTTTGCTTTTAGCTTTCCCTATATTCCAATGAATCCTCTCGTACGTCTGGGCTTCGTGAGGCAAAGCGGTGCCTCCCTCCCACCCCCACCCCCACCGGCTCCGTCACTCTACACTAAGACATTGGAGGGTATTTCCAGCTCACCTCAGCCACGGTGAGGATGAAGTACATGGACGGGTGTTGAGGGTCAATGCCTTCCAGCTTCATGCCCAGTTTGAAGCCATTCTTGTGATGGGTGACTGCCTGGGACTGTCAACGCACAGAGTGGAGAGCACCTGGCTTCCATCCAGCCTTATCCTCGCCTAGTGGGCTTGGGGTGAAGGAGCTGCCTTTAGAGGCCCCATCTGCCTGCTGGTCTCACAGGGGTGACTTATTGGGGATCTGTCCTGTGAGGGGTTCCCAGAGGACAAGAGAGCTGCAGGACTATTCTGAAGGGCTGGGTCAGGGCTAGAGTCAAGGGCTCTCTCATCTACCTCACGGTGAGGTCAATGCTGAACCGGGGGAAAATGTACCAGAATCCACAAGTCAGCAGGTGAGGGCACCTCCTTATTCCTTCTGAAGGGCACCTCCTTATTCCTTCACACCCAGGAAGTCCCTTACAGGATGCCCTTTTCAACTCTGGACATCTTCATTCTGCTAGTATGTCAAGGATTGTCCAGAAGAAAACGCCAGAAGGCCTGGGCTTGGGGGTGAGGTCCTGAACTGAGAAGATAAAATCTCCTTAGACTGAAATTGCCCAACTCACGTCCAGGAAGAGGCTGACTGGGGCAGTGACAGCCTTCTGCTCCTCCAAGTAGGACTCCCAGGACCAGCCTTCCTTCTTCTCACCCGACGACACTGCAGACACAAGACAGGCAGGCTGGCTCCTGGGTTGCCTCCAGGACATGGACAATCTTCCTCGGTTTCCCAGATTGAGCTCTTTCTTAACCTCCGAGCAAACCTTTATTTGTCCACATCTGTACCTCTTATCACACTCAGCTATGACAGTGCGGGGCCCAGGGGGCTCAGATCTGAAGTGAGGCCGTGGATTCTGTTTGTTCTTCCTCCACCCCCAAGCCACTGTCAGCAGAAGCTCTCTGGATTATACAGCAACTAAGGTCACAAAGTCTCAGCCACTCTGTCCTTGGAAGCATGCAGGGTGAGGATTAGTGATGAAGCCTAAGCCAGAGGACTTAATCATACCGCTACCTAAGCTCACAAAGGGAAGAGGAAGGAGAGAAGGCAGAGGGAGAACAGGTCGGAAAAAGTGAAGGCGAGAACACACAGAAATAAGAAACCTTTCTAAAGATTGTTTTCTTAAGTACTTACAGGCGTAGACATACATGTGGGTGTGAGCCTAGTGTGCTCCAGTACATGGACCAATTCCACAGTCTTCCCAGACATGTACATGCTTAGGGTGAGCATATATGTGTGTGATGGGTACATGCATTCATGGACATGAGCGTGTGCAAACACACACACACACACACACACACACACACACACACACACACACACACACGCCCACACAAATGCTACAGTTCAGGTCCTGTTCATACCCCTAAGAGTACCTGGGGCAGGAGGAATGGGAAGTTTTCCTGCTGGTAGATTCCTGGCCTCCATGCACAGGACACCTTAAAGGCTATGACAACCAGTCACCCAGAAGGTAGGCTGACCAGCTCAGCTCAGCTGCTTTCCACTGAAGGCCACAGACAATCAGAGACTCAACACCGTACAAGAATTGGCTTATATTTTGGGTGGAAACAGCTCCAATTTCTGGAAATGGACTCAGTTTTGTGATGCTATCTACCATAGAGCACTTGTGAGGATTCTGTAACACGTGGTCCAGAAACACCTTACGAAATACCAAGGCTAGAGTCAGGTTGCTGATTCTTTCTGCTCTTACTCAAGACTGACTGAGCCAGCTCCTCCTTGCTCTGGGTCACTCAGCGTCGGGTCATTCAAGCTTGCGGTGGTGTGTTGCTCAGGAAGATGGTTTGTTCCTCAGCGGAACTCAAGTTTGTTCTACAGCTGCCTAAATTCCTCAGTCACTGTACCAAACCTTGAGCTCCCGATGACCTGACCCAACTGGGCTAAGACAAATATTGATCAGTTCATCAACTGATCAATCAAGCTATCAGACTCTCTCAGAGATTGATGTCAATGCCAAATATCTAGTGAACATCTCTTCAGGGCATCCTTTGTCCCGAGTAAGACCGACTACACTACTCCAGAATGCCCCTAGCTCTTTTTTGTGTTTTGTTTTGTTTTTCAAGACAGGGTTTCTCTGTGTAGTTTTGGTACCTGTCCTGGAGCTCACTCTGTAGACCAGGCTGGCCTTGAACTCACAGAGATCTGCCTGACTCTACCTCCCGAGTGCTGAGATTAAAGCGTGCACCGCCCCCGCCCGGCTTCTCCCCTAGCCCTTTACCCAGCTTTATACAGCTTCATATATACTCACTGAGCAGGGGCACAAAGAAACAAAATCAGAGCTCAGGATGCCAGGCTGTTCATGTTGCTGCTTTTTTTTTTTTTTTTTTTTTTTTTGGCCACTGGGATACCGCACCACCCTATCTGACTCTTTATTTTATCCAGATGACCACTGCTACGACCAAACAATATCCAGGTCTTTCTCCCTAGATAACATCCTGTTTGCCTTACCTTCCCCAAGCTGTGCCACAAGCTCAGTCAGCGGCTGAGAACTTGCCAGCATTCTCATCTCAGGCACCTTAAGGCTCCTAGGCACTTCAGTCCTGAGTTCACACCCCTTTCCCCCTCCTCTAACACAGCCAAGCTAGAAGACACACCCCACGCCGTAGCAGACATTTCTCTCCTCTAACACAGCCAAGCTAGAAGACACACCCCACGCCGTAGCAGACATTTCTCACAGGCACTTTGGTGATCTGTTTGCTCTTACACCACCAGTCCTTCCTCACATCACTTCCTTCCCTGCGCCAGTACTTAACGTTTAATTTTTAAAAAATGTATATGGTGTCTTACCTGCATGTCTGTCTATGCACCATGTATATGCAGTGCCCATGGAGGCCAGAAGAGGGCGCCAGATCCCTCTGGGACTGGAGTTACAAATGGTTGTGAGCCACCATGTGGATGCCGGGAATTGAACCCAGGTCCTCTGAAAAGCAGCCAGTGCTCTTAACCATCGAGCCATCTCTATAGCCCCCACCAATGCTATCGTGATGCTCTCACTGGACATAACACGTAACAGGTCTTCAGCCTTCTGTCTCCTATCACACACCACCTTGTTTTACCTTAACTATTCCTTTTAGCATTTAGTGGAGCCATCTGTATGCCATGTCTGCTGCCAGAAATTGGGAGTTCAGAGATGCCTCAAGGATTTCACATACATCATCTCTTTTAGAGCTCTCAATGCCTTGAGGTGACAGGAAGGACTGGTAGGTTCTCTTACACAGTTGAGAAAAGGAGATCTTGTATTGTGTATCTTCCACTGAAAAGAGGTCTGGCTCCCATACTTCTCTGTAATATCTGGATTCCTCCCATGGACAAGCCCCTTGCTTCCTCCAGTTTCCTGCATCCTTTCCCCTGGCAAACCTTTAGTCTCATCTCCAAGCTCAAGTAAGTCCTAAAGCTCCCCTGTGTGGTTGCACACTCTGTACACTATACACTGACACCCAGGCAAGGGGCTGCAGGGGGCTGATGTCCAGGCTGGCTCCTTGCCAAGTCATGTGGCTGTCTGCTGCAGGATATCTGTACGCCGTGTGAAGATGCATCGTTGTGACTGGTTTAATAAAAAAACTGAACAGCCAATAGCTAGGCAGGAGAAGTTAGGTGGGACTTTCAGGCAGAGAGAGAAACTGAGGGGATGAATTGAGGCACATGAGAGATGTCATCGAGACACGGAGTTGAACATACAGAATGGAGGAGAGGTAAAATACCATGTGGCAAAATGCAGATGATTAATAGAAACTGGTTAATTTAAGTTATAAGAGCTGGTTGGAAACAAGCCTAAGCTAAGGACAAGCATTCATAATTAACAATAAGTCTCTGTGTCATTATTTGGGGGCTGGCGGTCCCAAAAGAAAGTCTGACAAGAACACCTTGCTGGTGCCCCAGGTCCTGCAGCTGCCTCCCACCAAGAGAGACCAGCCGGCCTTCAGAGAACAAAGAAAAGAAAAACTCAAGGAATATCTGTCAACACGAAAAACAATGTTTTCATACAAACAAGAAAATCAGATATCCAGAGATCAGAAAGTGAAAAAGTCTGAAGATCAGGTCCAAGAAGGGAAGAGAGTTCTGATACTCAAAACAGAAATGGCCGATAAAGAAAATATTGGAAACACAAGAAACTGCATTCCATTAAAAGCTGGTGATGTAACCAGTTCAGAAAGACACAACCTGAAGGATAACATTCAAGCTGTGCAGTTATTATCAACTCCGAGGTGATTTCCAAGGACAGATGATGACGTCAGACCAGGAAAGTCACCTTAAAGACAATAAAAAGATTCAAGCAACAGCAGAAAAGCCTAGACAGGATGCTAACGTGCCCCAAAAACGAGTGCTTAGCTATTATCATGGCCAGGTTGTTCAGTCCAAGATTAATGCATTTAGAAAGCTTCCGAATGTCAAAGGTGAGAATCCAGCAACAAGCAAGAAACTTCCTGTTGCTGTGTCCAAAACCACAAAGGCTCAGTCTGTGCCTGCAAACGCCATCAAACGTGACTGCTACCACCAAGTGTGTCAACGCTAAATCTGTGAGCACTACATCCAAGAACACGCTTGTGCGACCACCCATTAGAAGCCTCCACAGTGATACCCAGGGCACTGTGAAACAGGGTCTCGGCAGGACCCTCGCCAATGTGACTGTCAGAAAAGGGCCTTTTAAAAATGAATCACTACGATCAAAACCGGTTGTATCTGTTGTTGATACCCGTCCTCAGGACAGAAAAAGAAATAAGGCACTGTCAAGAAGCGTGACATCTGAAGGTGTAGCCAGGACTAATTTGTCAAATACCAGACTGATAGAAAAGTCAACAAATACCGACCAGCGCAGATATACAGTAGCAGGAGCGACTGTTCATAGATCAGTTCTGCCCAAGGAAACCACAGAAGAGAGAAAAGCTCGAATGACTGAGTGGAGAACTGGCAAAGGAAAAGGGCTAAAAAGGCCACCTAATTTAATAGCTAATCAGTCTGAGCCCAAAGGGCCAAGTGAAAACCCAGTCGAGTCCTTTTGGACTACCATGGCAGAAGAAGATGAACAGAGACTATTTATTGAAAAAGTAAACAAGACCATTTCTGAATGCCTGAACCTGATTAATAAGGGATGCCCAAAAGAAGGAATTTTAGGCACATTGAATGACCTGATTCATAATACTCCAGATGCCAAAAAACTTGTTAAATATTGGATATGTCTTGTACGTATTGAACCAATCACAAGTCCTATTGAAAATATTATCTCAATCTATGAGAAGGCCATTCTGGCAGGGGCTCAGCCTATTGAAGAGATGTGACAAACAGTCATAGATATTCTAACAATGAAGAGTCAAGAAAAAGTTAATTTGGGAGAAAACAGTGAGGAGGCTCATGCAACCAAGGGGACATACCCAGGAAGTCAAAACTGAAGAAACAAGTGTCAATCTAGAATCCAGGAGAGGAGATTGAGAGTCATAGAAACATTGAAGGTTGTGAAGACAACCAAGACAGCAAAACAAAAGATCAAACTGATGATTTTATAACCCCTGATTTAAAAAATGGAAGCAGGTTGCCTAATTTGATATAATGTATCTTCTACACCATACTTACAAAGTATGAAAAAGAAGATACAACATGGTAAAAATTTCATATTTAAAGAGCTAAAGTTTCTCACACCAGTGAGGCATTCACGACGAATTCAAGACAAGTCTTTACAGCCGCCGGACATGTTAAAAGACCACGACCCTTCTGTGTCTTCCCTGGAACGGCTGTCTGAGTTGGGAGAGGATGCTTTTGTTTGCCGTCCTAATGCAGCACTGTGCCCCAAGTTCTGAGACTGACCTAGTGGGAGAGAAATAGTGCTCCTGAGCAAGGAGATGTTGTCTTACTCCTGTGGTGATTTGTTACGTACAGCTTTAATAGGTCTGGAGCTGCCCACGTGCCAAAGTATAGTACAGTGAACTTCATCAGCTGGTTTATTGTTTTTAAGATCTAATGTTAGCTTCCTCACTTTACTAATTCCTTACACTACTGCTGAATAGTCAGAAAGTGTAGTCTATATAAATTTATATTTTTACAGTGACTTTGTTTATAATAAATATCTGTATAGTGTTCCAGTGGCCTTCCATTTATTG